CACCTCCGCAGGAAACGGGATGGGAAAAGCTCCTCTTGGACTCAGCATCGCTTTTGTTTCCATTATAAACTTCCCTTTTCAGGAGGAAGGAGGGTCTGAGACCTGCTCCCTGCTCAGCCCCGGCCGGGGGACCCTGCCCAGGTCAGGGGAGCAGAACCCTCTGTGGTGCCACCCACCGCCCTCCCACCTCTGCTTCCAACTGGGTTCTGCATCCCATTTTCCCTCTGGACACCCTCTGGCAGCTGCTCTGCTCTCGCAGTGCTCCCCAGCTGGGCTGCTCAGGGTCAGGGAGACCTTTATCAGCCCCGAAATGCAGCCTAAGGCCGGGATAGGGGCGATAAGGCGCGTGGGATGAGCGGGATGCCGGGGCCAGGGCCTTCCCGTCCTTCCAGGAGCAGCCAGGAGGGATCATCAGGCTGGGAAAGGCAATGCAGGGGCTCCCCACAGGGTGTTGAACCCCACCATGCCAAAAGTACCCAAAAACCATGTCTATGGGAAGGCATCTGGGACCCCTCAAGTCCCACCATTGTCACCCCGGGGCTGGGGCAGCACAGGATGGGGCTGGAGGGGTTGAGGTTGGGTCTTGGCTTTGATGGCAAATATTCCGGCTCCTGGCCCAAAAGAAGGGCAGATGGTCTCCAAGATATGATATGGAGGAGGTTGCTCTCCCTTTCCTCCTCCACGACTCCCGACAGCCACCCTCTCCCCCCCAGCAGGGGCGGGGAAGGGGGTGATGGGGAGGGAAAGGTCCAGGACGGGGGAGAGCAGAGCTGATCCTGAGGGGTGGGATGCAGGGGGATGTTGCAGGAGGGAAAAGCAAGCCCAGAAATAGCAAGTGTAGCAGTTGCAGAAGGCGCCGGTTGCCATGGGATCCTCACAACCAAAAATGACGGGGCTCTGGCAGATACAAGAACGGGCCCTTTCATGTGTTTCTATGGGAAGTCAGCGCCTCTCCACAGCCTCCCGGGCTGGAGCCTTTCCCAGGGCAGGAAGGATTTGGGGACACTGGTTGTGGTGACAGGGAGAGCCCTGGTAAAGTCCCTGGAGAGCCTTGCTTGGGTCCAGGAGGCTTTTTCCCCGGTGCAGATGTCGCAGGGTCACTTGGCTCCACGGGCAGGTTTGGCACTTCCCAGCTTCTGCTCAGGCAAAGGATAGAGATTCCCGGCTCTTCCTCGTGCCCCTCAGGAATCCCCTGGCATGGAGCTCGGCAGATTTTCCTCCTGCAGCTGAGGAAGCACAGCCTTGCTCGGCACCTGCAGTGCCCCAGCCCCTTCCTCCTGTATCCTCCCGGGATGTGCATCATCCTGGGGACCAGGTCGGTGTCCATGTCCTGGGAAAGCCAAACAAGGGGCACAGCGGGTGGACATGGCAGCACAGGCAGCCCCCAGACCCTAAATGCTCCTATTTTAGCCAAAGGCTGCTCCCAAGGGCTGATCCCAGGCTGCCACTGCCGTGGTGGTGGCAGAAGCCGTGACCCTCCATCCCTGCACAGGGCACAGCCCAGCCCCACACTCTCCCTGCTGGAATTCTCTCCCTGGAGTGATCTAATTAGTTAATTCCTTTGCTATTTATAAATCAATATGGAAATCCCTCTGCTTCGTTCCCAGCGCTGTTGGTCGCCCTGGCTGGGTCCCCCCCCAAATTTAAAATCCTCCAGGGGATGCTGTGGGTACATGAATAAATAATTGCCTTAATTCTTCGTTAAGGGCCGGGGGAATGCAGTGGGTGGCCGGGGCAGGACAAGGGGCTGGGGATGGTCCCTCCTCGTCCTTCTCCAGCCCTGTGGTGTGGGAGCCAAGTTCCCCCGCTCTGCCCTGCAGCCTCTCAGCGCTTAACACCCAATAAATTAATAATCAGCCGCAGTTTAAGTAGGTCTGGAAAGTGGAAAACAACATCCGCAAAGATCTGGCGTCCCCCCGGCCTCGCGGGCGGGAGCGGCAGAGATTTGTCTGCCTGTCCATCTGCCGGAGGGGAACACAGACCGTAATCTGTCCGTCTGTCTGCGGCCTGCAGATCACCAGCCCTTCCCAGGCAGCCAAAGCCCCCCCCGAGCCCGGGGAGAGCCCGATGGAACCGGAGCATCCTCTGCCCTGCTCCGCTTCCCTGCCCACGGGGACGGAGGAACCCGAGGCAGCAGCGGAGGGACGGGACCCATCGCTGGTTCCCACCGGCTGGTGGCCACTGGTTTGCACCGGGAGGGTTTGGGTTGGTGTCTGGTTCGTGCCGGAATTCACCGGTTCCTGGCCTCCACCCGCTCTCCCGGTGTCACCGCGTGTCACCTCCAGCCACGCACGGAGCGGGAAAACGGCCTTTTCCCAGGATGAGAGCGGGAATAACCAGCCGTGGGCCTGCCCGGGGACACCCACGGGGTGCTGGGGTGGCCACACCGAGCACGGCCCAGGATCCAGCGGAGCCGTCCCGGTGCCGCCGCCGGCGGCAGCGCGGGAAGGACAGACATCTGCCCTGGAAGAGGAGGCACGGCTCGGGAATCCACCGGGAATGTGGCTATTTATAAACACGGCCCTTACGCAGCGCTGCAGAAGAGGGTTTTCAAGAAAAGCCGGGATCGGGAGTGGACGTGGTGACTGGGGATTCCTCGGAGATGAAAGTCGCTGGAAACACATCTGTGAGGAGGTCCTGGCACGGTGGGGGGGGGTGTCACTGTTCCCCCACTGCCAGCTCTGCATCTTGACCTGTCCGACCACGCTCGAGTTCACCCTTTGCACATCTGCTTCCCGCTGCTCTGGCGCTGGGATTGGTGCTGGAAGGGGAGCGGGGTGTGTGTGTGTGTGAAATGCTTTATCCCCTCCGGGAAAAACATGGAAGAGACCTTGGCTCTGCACTGGAGGGACTGAGCTGAGGGGCCCCAGCCCTGACCCCCCACCCCATAAATCCCCTCGGATTCACCCACCACCAAAGGAAACACCTTCCCTGCACGAGGCCTGTCCACAGCACAGGGAAGGCGTTGGTGTCCCCAACCCAACACCCAGAGCCACCACGCCAGGGCTGCCACTGTCACCCCACAGGCTGCACCCCCAGAGCCCCCCAGAGCCCCCCCAGCAGCGGGGATGGTGTAGGTGGGGATGGGCCACCAGTACCTTTCTCCTTAGTAGTTCCCTGTGGCTTCGGGATGGGAGAATGGGAATGTCTTGGGGTGGTTGTGGGGATGGATGGACTTGGATGGGCACTGTGAGAGCCAGTGCTGGCTCAGGGGTACACGGCACAGCCAAAATGTGGGGGTGCTGCAGCAGTGGTGGGGTGGGGTGGGATGGGATGGGATGGGATGGGATGGGATGGGATGGGACAGCAGCACGAGGCCTCTTTGCATTCCTGCAGAGAAGAGCCGGGACCAAATGACCCTCAGCAGAGAGACTGAAAACAACTCCTAGAAGGTGGGGAGAGAAGTGTGGAGCCGGGATGGACACTGCCCAGTGCTGAATGGCTGCTGGGACAGCGGGAAGGACTCTCCAGCCACAGTTTGCTCCCCAGCAGGAAATGGTTGGGGACACCAGCGTGGAGCTCACACTCAGGGACAAGTGCTGGGACACAGATCCTGTTCACTGACTAATTCCACACGCTCCCTTGGGCAGTTTGTCTTCCCAAAGCCCTGATACCCGCGTGTTTTCCAGCGGGGAACATCCTCCTCGGCTCCTGTGCTGCTCGGGACACTCCGGCCCTCGCCGCCGGCCGGAGCACCCGGCAGCCATCCAAGGGCTTTATCAACTGGCACCCAAAAGTCAATAAGGAAGATGCCGCCTGTTTTAATTAACAGCAATTTCGCTCCGACGGGGGCGAGATGATGATGTGCCGGGGGGGAGGGAGGCCAGAGACAAAACATGACCTTGTTGGCGCAGCGCACACAGCGGGACATTGTTTTCCCCCTCGGAGACTGGCCTTGATCCTGCCTGGGCTCCGGGGCACAGCTGGGTGCTGGGGGACGGGGGCTCTGCTGGGAGCAGGGTGCGAGGGTGCCCGGAAGGTTCCAAGTCCAAAGGGATTGGGACGTGGCACCCGGGAGCGCGAGCAGGGAATGTCGGTGGCTTGGACCGGCACAGACGGGTCTGGATTTTGGGAGCCCCCAGTGAAGCCCAGCTGTGCCTGAGTGCCATGGGAGTGAATCCCCCACTGGCACTGCTGGAGATCCCTGGCAGCACAGGGACGCTGCAGGGCCCTCGGCAGAATCAGCATCCACTTGAGTTTAGTCCCATTTTCTTTTCTCCTGAGCTCTCCCATTCCGGGAAAGCAGAGAAGAGGAACACCCCCAGAGGGGAAAAACCTCCCTGTGTGTGTGCCAGGGTGCTCGGTGAGGTGGGGAGCCGGGGTGTGACCCATTGCACAACCTGTCCCCACAGCAGGACCCTCGGGGAACCGCTGGGGCTGCGGTGAGAGGGACCCTGGGGGAGGCAGGACCCTGGGGTGAGCAGGACCCTGGTGGGAGCAGGACTCCAGAGTGAGCAGGATTGGGATGACCTGCACCACGGTGTTGTCCTGGAGGTGATGGGGAAGGGACAAGTGGCACCGTGGGACGCTCCCAGGGTGACTGGGATGGGGCGAGGAGCACCCCAGGGGTGCTGGGGATGAGGGCACAGGCACCCAGGGGTGCTGGGGATGGGGGCACAGGCACCCAGGGGTGCTGCGGCCGCAGGCAGAGGCACCCCAACGGTGTCAGGGGTGGGGTGAGTAGCACCCCAGGGATGATGGGGCTTGGATAAGCACCCCCCCATGCAGGGGAGAGGGCACTGGGCTGGGAGGGGGGGGCTCCCCACCACCCCCTCCCACCGCCTCCCCTCACCCCACCGCGGCTGCCCCGATCCCCGGGGGTCGCACAGGAGGGACGGGGGGGGGCTCGGCGGCCGCCAGAATCCCCCCACCCTCCCCCGGTCCCCGGCGGGGCGGTGGCTCCATCGCGGTCCCCCCGCCCCCGGGGCGGGCTCGGCACCGTCCCGCCCCCGCCCCGCGCCTTATCAGCGGCGGGCGGGGGGCTCGCCCCACTCCCGCCCAGCGCAGCCGCCGCGGCGGGGCCGGCAGCACCCGACGTGCCGCACCATGGGCAGCCAGGGCTCCAAGGCGGCGGGCGGAGACCCCGACACCGCCAAGGCCAACGGGCAGGTGGGTACCGGGGGGAACCTCCTCGCGGCGCCGGGACCCCCCCGCGCCCCGTCGGGGCGGGCGGGAGCGCGGAACAAAGGCGGCGGCGGCGGGGAGGGAGCGGCGGTGGTCCGGGCG